GGGGTACAATTCAGGGTTAGGTATACAAACATTGATTATGCAGGTACCCTTGTTGATGAGGTATGCCCCTCCCTCCCCTAGCAGTTTTCCTCAACTGTCAATCCCACCCCACCTCCCCTGACAGTTTCCCATTATTGCCAAACGCTTTCTTATAGTATTATAATTGTTCAAGGTCCGCTTATGAGAGAACATATGGTACTCTGTTCTTTGTTCCTGTGATAGATCACTGAGTATGATCGACTCCAAATCCACTGAAGTGCAGGTAGGCCTTTCTAGGGATAACAATCTTAAGTTCTTTTTCTTTTTTTTTTTTTCCATCATCAGAAAACCACATTAGGTCATTCTTCCTCAAGGTAATTTGTAACAGAAAACTCAGTAGATTAAACCAAAATAAGTTGTTGTCTGTCTCTACCTACCCCCCCATAACCGATAAGACTGCAGGCACAGTTTATATCTTCCCTTCACAGGACCTGAGTTCAAGTTAGTCACAAGATAGGCATAGGACCTGGGAGCTACCTGGGTTTGTTTTTGTTTGGTGTTTGTTCACAGTCAAGAGGAGAGCATTGTCTCATTTGTAATGTTGTGTAGTTCATATCCCAAAGTACATAGGGCCTTTATGACCCATCTGTGCTCAATTTTATTTTTACTTATATTTCTACATTTTTTGAGTCAATCACCTTGTCACCCAGGCTGGAGTGCAGTGGCACAGTCACAGCTCATTGCAGCCTCAAATTCCTGGGTTCAACTGATCCTCCCACATCAGCCTCCTACGTAAGTAACTGGGACTACAGGCATGCACCACCACACCTGGCTAAGTCTTTGATTTGTTTGTTTGTTTAGAGACAAGGTCTTGCTATGTTGCCTAGGCTGGTCTCGAACTCCTAGGCTCAAGTGATCCTCCTGCCTCAGTCTCCCCAAATGCTAGGATAGCAAGTGTAAGCCCCCGCACCTGGCCCATACTAAATTTTAATTCCTCAGCTCTGTATCTAGGACTCCCAGCCTTTGTAGGATCGTTCAGTTTCATGATCCATGCACTTGACTTTCCTGTTCATTTCTGGTCCCTGAGGATTTGAGGGCCATCTGGCATCCCAACACCTCTTTGAGTTTAGCTGCATTTTAACACTTTGGGGGGATTGTCACTTAACATTTTTTTATGTTTGAAAATATCCACAAGGTTGTGCAATGGTCACCACTTTTTAATCCTAGAACTCTTTTATCTCAAAGGAAACCCCCTACATGAGTTGAGTATAGGGGGGTGGGGAGTGAGAACATGACCACACGTGCAAGCAAGAGAGAGAGATCACCTACACATCAGCAGTCACTCCCCATTCCCTAATGTCTTCAGGGTTCATCTATGTGGTAACATGAATCAATACTTCATTCTTTTATATTGCTAAATGATATTGCATTGCATGGGCATAGCATATTTTGTTTATCCTTTCGTCAGCTGAGGGACATAGGGTCTTATCCACATATTAAGTATCACGATGAATGTTGCTGCGAACTTTTTTTTTTACAAGTTTGTGTGAATATATGTTTCACTTCTCTTCGGTATATGCTTAGGAATGGAATATCTTGGCATGCAGTTTTGATGCTGTCAGTCTCATTGAGATGTGCCTGCCCTGATATTAACAGTCTTCATCCTGGAAATGGAAACACTAAGACTAGGGCTCAAAAACATGAACAAGGAGGGTACAGCAGATTACTTTGCAAAGCGATGGGGTGGGATTAGAGAAGAAAGCAATGGTATCCTTAGGTCCAGGTAAGTGGGGACTACGCCTTTAGTGTCTTCACAGTTGTGTTCCTGCCTCAAAGTTTTGTAATTTCCTTCTGGTGCCTGTGACTGCTGCTAGCAGCACTGTCTAGGTAGACAGTCCAAGCCCAAATGCATGTGTGCCTTCTTGTTTCTCTGGGATTATCTTTGATCTTTATCCAATATGTGTGGTTGACTAAATGTCTCCAGGAAAGTCCAGGATGGTACCTGTGTCACTGTTCCGAGGCCTGTGGCCAATACCACTTGTAAGAGGGAATCCTGG